GCATTGTGATTCCCGCAGGGCGAAATCTCTCATGCCACATATCGTACCACCCATACCCCCTGCATATAGTACAGAATATAATCATCAGCTAAACGTTTTATAGTAAATTTGATCAACATGTCCAAGGTCTTGTTCCGAACCAAGTCCTTTTACAGCCAGAAAGCCTAAAAAAAAAGACTCAGAAAGAAAAGAAAAGAAAGCCCGGACACTTAAAAGCCTGAGGCTGAAAACTGCCCAGGATCGGAGGCCGCCGGACGATCGGCAGTCACCCGGTGACTCGGACGGTTCTGCCCGGCCCAGCCTCACTGAGCACTCACTGGCACCCGCCAGAACATGATTCAACGTGATGAAACGGAGGAGCAGTCACTGCAACTTTTTACTCGAAACCGCGTCATTGAACCAGTCACGCCGCACTGCACTGTCTGTCCTGCCACAGTGCGGCGCATGGGCCGTCACGTACTGCGCGGCCATGATGGGCCGGGGCCCGCCGGGCACGGTGACTATCAATTTGAGGCGGCCCGGCGCCGCCCTAGTACCGTGCCAAGGCGTACCGGGTCCGATCACCGGGGCCCGGCCGCCGCGCCACCGCGGGTCCGAGTCGTCGGAACTGAAAGAGGCAATCGTGATAGTAAAATTAACTTAACTTTGAGTGAAGAAACAATTTCCTAACTTTCATAAGAACAGCTTTCCCGTCTTGCCCCCTCTCCCTCTCTCTCTCCCTCCCTCCCTCCCTCCCTCCCTCCCACTCGCTCCTCACTCTCTCCTTCTCTCTCTCTCTCTCCCTCTCCCCCCCTGTCTTGCTCCTCCTGTTCACTCTTGCTCCTCCTGTTCACTCCAGTCCTTGATCTCCGCTCCTAGTTTTGTCTGATGAGAATGAAATGGTTCTGCATTCTCATCCTGCCGTCGCTGCTTCTACCCAAGGTTCTGGGATCCTGCAGCTCGCTCCTGCTGACTCAAGATGCATGCCCGCTGGAGGCGAACCCTCTCTCGAAGTTTGAAGCAGCTGTCGAGCGTCAAGTAGCAGGACAGCAAGTTGCCATCCGAACGATCAGCAAGGCCTTCGCGCACAACATGAGAGATTACGAGAAATGGAAGGGGTCGAAGTTCTCATTCCAGAGTGTCAGCAGTCTCTTGTCTGGACTACCGCACAGCATACAGCATGTTCTGGTGGAGAAGGAGGTGTTAAGAAACCGCACGTTTGCGCAGTTCTTCCATTTCTCTGGACCTACGGGGGTCGGCAAGTCGCTGGTCGCAAGGATCCTATCAAGGTGTTTGTTTGCAGCGACAAAGGGAGAGGAAGGGAGGACAAAGGGAGAGGAAGGGAGCGTCTGCGGGGTTCTTGAGATCAACATGCGGTCGCTGTCAGGCTTGAAGCCATGGCAGATGAGTGGGGCGATGGCCAACATCACGGGGAGGATACGAAGCCAGCTCCACACTTGCCCTCGATCAGCTGTGATCCTCGATGAGATCCAGAGCATCTCCTACCAGCAGCTGGACTCCATGCTGGGCCAGGTCGACTTGCATCCTCCCGGCATCTTCATCCTGGTTTCTGACCTGGGTGCTCGCAAGCTCAACGCTTCTATGAGCCGAGACGAGGCCACGTCGGTCATCCGCGAAGCAGCGCTGGTGTCCACCTATGGGACGTCGCCCATGCTGCACAGGATCATCCTGCATAACATGGTTCCCTTCCTTCCGCTGGACGAGGACGAGCTGCGGCGAGTCGCCGACATAGAATTGCAGAAGCTGGAAGCGAACTTCATACGGGAGTACGACATGTGGAAGGGAAAGTTGACGTGGGGGCGAGCAGTCTCAGCGCACATTGCGAGAGAGTGTATCTTGAACGAGGTCTACCTCGACGACGGTGGCAGGGGGGTGGAGACTTTTGTGCATCACGAGCTTGCCTTCATGGTGGAGGTGAAGCTCAGTGAGTTGCTAGAGTCTCCCGCCAGGTGCTACAACAATGTGGACGTGCGGGTGGAGCACGGGGCAATCAGAGTGGAGGTCGACTCTGTGTACGATAAGGGTGACTTCGACGAGAGTTAGAGGAGGAAGAGGATGGTACATGGTACAGGAATGATTGAGGTAGATAGCGTTTGTAGTAATGCAACATTTCTTTACTTCCTTATCAGCTTGTATGCTTTGCTGTTGCCCATAGAGGTCACATGGCGTCAGGGCAAATCAGCAAATTCACCTGTATCCCACCTTCCCTGCGTCCTTCCTCATCGAATTCCACGTCCTGACAAGTTTCTCGTGAGATGTTGAGAGGGAGGGGAGGGGGGGGGAGGAAGGAGGAGAAGAACGAGATTGAGTGTGAGAGAGGGAGGGAGAGAAAGAGAGGGAGGGAGAGAAAGAGAGGGAGGGAGGGAGGGAGGGAGGGAGGGAGGGAGAATGCGACCAGAAATGAAACTCGTCGTTCTGTTCGTGGTACTTCATGCAGAGCAGGTCGTAGATAAAGTGATCGATGGCTGCGGGGAGTCAGAGAAGAGGCGGGGGAAGTGAGTCCATACTTAGATCGGAGGACCACTGGACACAAGGCCGCATCTTCCATCATGACTATCAGCGTCTTAGCAGAGACAGCCTCCTCTATCACCTTCTCGGAGATCGGAGCCTTCCGAAGCCCTGCCAGCCGCGTCACAAGCCGTGAGACAAGGTCTGAGCTGACCGGGAGTCTTAGGGACGGAGATTCTGTTGTGGAGTACGGCGACCATATGGGGTCCAAGGCAAGCCCAGCGGCTGTAGGACTGAAAACAAGCTGAGAGGACAGCAGGCTGAAGGGGGAAAGTACCGAAGTTTGCTCCTCTGGAGATAGCGAACCGTTGAAAGCCCTCTGGGGAGGAAGGTCAGGCGGAGGTGGATGAGGAAGAGGAGGAGGAGGAGGAGGAGGAGGAGGAGGAGCTGGTGGTGGTGGTGGAAGGGGACAAATGAGAAGCAGGAGAGCATGGCGAGGAGTCGGAAGGATAGGACGGAGAGAAGGAAGACGAAAAGGAAGGAGAGAGGAGAAGTGGCCGGGGGGGGGGGGAGGATTTAAAAGGTAACCTGAGTGGAAATGAGGTGTTCCATCTGAATCCAATCTACGGGGATCCAGTCGCCTGCACATTTTCCAGTTGAGTATCAACTCTCCCCTGCTCATTCCTCCCTCTTCCTCTCTCTTCCTCTATCTCCTCCTTTCTCTCCTCTCATGCGCCCCCCCTCCTTTCATTCTCCCCTTGTCTCAGACCTGGCTCATGGGAGCAGTAGTACGGCCGAGACACAGCAGCGACTGGGAGTCCCTTCACGTCAGTACCACATCCTCGAGTGCAAAGTCCTACCTTCTGATCGGACGGGAATGTAACTCGTTTGCTGCAAAAACTTCCATTAGCCACCATGTAAATCCATCTTACCCGAAGAGAGAAAGTCCAGGATCACACGAAAGGGGCACATCATAGAGGACATGGATGGAAATATGGGAAATTCCGAGCAAAATGAAGGAAGGGCGAACGAGGGAAGAAACAAGGATCAGAGAGCTGAAATTTCTCACGTCTGGCGCGAAATTCCATCGCCAGAATTGAAAGATTTTCTTCGTTTCGTGGTACTGTCAAACGAATTATCGCTGGCAGCCGCGAAACATCACGGCTCCTTACCCTCATGCAGGCATAATCCGGATCTCCTGAACTAATATACTTGACGCAGGGTTGACGGACTCTGACGTAAGGGGGAGAGGAGAACAAACGAGTTAGCACACTGAGAACCATTTCCATCCCCTCGCTCACATCGCTTCAGGGCAGATGCAAACCCACACCCCATAATCACTCGAAGGACGATCGACATTCATGAGGGGGCCCTGCCGGATTCATCTCAGTCACGGCCGAGTGCCAAAACTCTTCACCTGGTGGGCCCAACCCATGGCGTCTGCCATGACAACCCAAGTCCAGTCAAGGTCAACCTTAAGGGAAAGTCAGCCAAGGCGCAAGAGGCACAGGATGAGCTGGCAGCGTCAAAATCTCGAGGGTTCAGCTCACCACTTCATCCCTCTTGAAAGAGCACAATCGCAAGGGACGTGGGACAGGAAGTTCGGCCCAGCGAGGGATAGGTTTAGATAGCAGAGTCTGGTTGGAACTGAGGGGGAAGTTGAATGTTTGTCATTGAAATCAGAGACAAGATAAGACACACCCTTCTTGGTGACTCTGCGTGCTGTTTGTGGGAGACGAGTCGATGCTCGTGTTGCTGCTGGCTGTAGAATTCTCATCTCCTCTCTCACCGTCGCTGATGTTCTTTGTGGTGTTGGTCCCATTGGTATGATTGATCAACACCGCACCCTCTGCAGCTCTTGATGGCCCTGTATCAAGGTTGTCAGCTGCGGGAGCTCGTCTCTAGGAGGATATTCCTGCAAACAAGCTCGTCCACGAAGATTTTGCTCCCTCCCTGAGAGTCCCGAGCCCCGTTCTTGCGTACTGGTACTGTGTCAGCTGCATTGCAAGATACCAACAACACCAGATACCGGGAACAGCAAGACAGCTACCAATGCCACACACGCGCTGATGACAACCAGCGAATTTTTCCGAACAATCTACAAAAGTTCTTCACCACAAGTTTGCAAATAGACATCAGCAGGAGAACCTCGGGGATCGGGTTGGGCGGCCTTGCGCTCTCAGCGCTCGCCTGCTCGTTCCTGTGGCTGACAGCGCTCAAGACAAGTTCAAAGAGCACAGATGTAGCATACTGCGATCTTCCGCCCTTATTGTGGACCCGCTGCTTCTTGCTCTGCTCGCTTTCAGCCGCAGGCTTCCCTTTCTAACGCACAATGAGGGAGGTAGCGCAACCCAGAACTTCACCTTCCGCTCCTTCTTCAGTATCCTTCGCTCTCGTATTCGCTCGACAGCGCGATTTCTGATGCCCTCCAGCTCTACTGAGCATGTGGGGCAGTGGTTCTTGGCAAGAACATGGCAGTCGCCGCAAAGCAGGTGGCCGCTACGGCACTGGGAAACAGAAAAACATGTCGATCGAAAGTTCCGCGCAAGGAGGTTCAGGCTACCTGCCAGATGATTCCAGGAATGCTCTTAAGGCATGTTGTGCATTCCCAGCAGTCGGAGGAGGACGAGGAGGAGGAGTCTGCGGACGAGCTACATGAAAGGAGCGAAATGAGTATCATAGAGCTACCATCCTTGTCGTCCTCGACGACGTCTGCCATGGGCGTATCAACCTAGTCAGCGAGCAAAATGGCGAGATTTGTCGGAAAGAGCATCAGCCATCAGACGTTCGACCGCAAGGCGTTGGACCTGCAGGAGTGACTCTAAATCAGCAGTCGCGTACTTAACTCTCTCTTCATTCCTGGATGTTCTACGACTCCTCTGGTTCTCCCTCCCCTCCCTCCCCCTCCCCTCCCCCACTCCCCCCCCACCTACCTCCCCTCAGTCCCCTCGGTCCCCTCCGCCCCCCTCCCCCTCAATCCCCCTCGCTCCCCTCCCTCGCTCCCCTCAATCTCCTTCGCTCCCTCCCTCGCTCCCCTCGCTCCCCTCGCTCCCTCACTCCATCCATCCGTCCGTTCGTCCCTCG